GACTGTACTGACAAACTATGCTGACACCGTGTCTGCGCCACTACAGGACGCGACAATGCGACCGTTGAGAATCATTTGAACTTTGTGTCAGCACGTTATAAAAAGAACGCGGCATCAGTTTACTGCATCCAGTGTAAACAACATCACTGATTATAATGGGTTCTATTCTACACCTGACGCGAGCGGAGCGATGTGATGTGACCGATGTGATAAGCAATTTTTCGATATCGATACCGAATAAGCGCTTGCGTTCAGTCAATAAAAATCAAATAGTTCTTAATTTGTTTGAGAACTGAGAAAGACCATACCATATAGTTGTGGCCACATAACCACCTCCGGGAGTGCCTTTATTACAAACACTCGATGGTGGTTTAAAGTGAGTTTTGAGTAAAAGCGGAATATAAATCTTATTTATTGTCTTATGTAGCATGATGCTACAGTTCGCATGAATGGTCACATAACACGTGCTTTCGGTCGTGTAAAAAAGTATGAACGGACATCTGCATATGATTGGAACTCCACACAGCTCCAGCGCTACTCTATACTGGTGGTATTACAGTACCACGAGAGCTAAAGAGAGCAGACTGCTCCGTGCGCTTTCGAATCGCTCTCGCGGATGATCGATCTGCGCCGCGCCTCTAGTCGAACACACCGGCTAGTGCTGCAGGCTTATTGGCTCACTGACACTGATGAGATTAACCCCTTAGGTATCGAAATTTGGTACCGAATGACAAGACGTTTTTCGATACTCGATGGTACCGAGGCAATTCGGTCGGTGCCTAAAAAGTATCGAACTCGATACCCAGGCCTAAATATAGGTGCGGGTGGGTGGTGGGCCTATAATTTGAAGCAGCGGATCTCTACACTACACTGACCTGGGTCACCAGTAGCAAACAATGGAGCGTGCTCTGCTGGACAAACTAAGTAATTACACCATTCAGAAGCATTTAATCTGCGTTATGTTCTGTTAAAAAAAAAATCATATCGGCAGCATATTTGCCGATACCGATATATCGGCGACAGGCTCATATCGGCCGATAATATCGGCTAAATTATATATCGGTTGGGCTCTAGTATTGATTTCCTATCACCATGAGACTTATTAAAAAGGTGACAGCATTTGAGTGGGTAAACAGATGGCAAATGACAGTAAGATGAAACTGCAACAAATACAGCTATACAACCAGAATTCAAATTCTGAATTTCAGAATTCTGAAAAATAGATAACTGAATGTCTATGGGGAGATGAGGCAGGAAGTGCTTATTATATGGCCCCCCACACACTCCTCAGGGGGTTTGTTTGAATGGGGTTTTGTTTGCCATCAGACATAGTCAGAGCAAAGACTCGATGTCAGTATTTACTCTGTCACAGAGGTGATGGAAAGTGGACAGGTTTGCTCATAGTTTTCTACTGACTCATTCAAGGCATGGAATGGATGATTGTTTCTTAAAAACCCGTAGATGTTTGCTAAAGTTAACTGTGAAAGTGTGGGTGAAACAGATACAATGGAGAAAAGATGTCATTTTAAAGCATTTATCTACAATAAGGCTGTTTCTTCCATTCTAACATTATATGGTGACAATGACGATAATAATTTGCTAAAATACACTACACCTTTTGGCAAATGCTCATATTTGGCATATGGGCTTCAGCAAGCTGCAAGTGACCTCAGTGCTAGACTGTCAGCTGGATTTGTCACAGACTGAGGCCTCTCTGCTGGAAGTACGACACAGCATTTCAATTTTTCCAAAGCATTGTGCAGTCACAATAGAATGATGGTGTCTACAGCACCAGTCTGTACCTCATTAAACATCTGGTTTATACATTTAACTGTCATAAAAATAAATATAGCTACATTTAGGCCACTTTTTTAAAGCAACAAGATCAAAACATTCACTACGTTCCCATAAGGAGATGGCAGACAAATTAATGCATACTGCTGCCCTGTAGCTCGTAGACATCTCTGTGGGCTTTGACAAAAGCATACTAATTGTTCATGTTGTGGTTACGAGTTGCCATATAAATGTGGACTGTTGAAACAGCATGTAAAATTCAAAGTTTCCTATAATTCAAGTTAGACTCTTAAAAAAAAGCATACAAGACAATAAGTATATAAATGCTAGGATACATTATAAAATATTTTTAATATCCTTGCTGAAAAAGGTATTGGGAAAAAAAAGTCTTACTGACCCCAAAACTTTTGAATGGTAGTGTATATATGTATTTTCCTCTTTATATATTCTTTTTTGGTATGTTACTAATGAAGTCTTGCCTCTGGGCTCATAAGCTTGTGACAATAAATGTTTCTTATGATAGATGTGGATTTTTGTTTGGCCATTTCATTTGACTCATTACATCATGACTACTGCATGATGTAACTGCAGCGAAACTGAGAAAAGACAATAAAAAACACTTTACAATCACTCCTGTTTAAAATGAACATTGTCTTGATTGAAAAATGTATGTGATACCATGCGTTTTATGAGAACTACATTACAAGCTAATGGCTTCAGCTTAAAAACGACTGAGTCAAAAAAAGAAGTCTATCTAAATAATGATCTCAGACTGTAGGAACTCTGCAAATGTTAATGTAATCTTCATAAATATTCAAGCAGTTAATCAAGCAGCTGAAGTTGTGATCGTTACACTTCCTGCACCCTCAGACGGCCTTATTTGTATTCAGAAGCATCATGATTTCAGATTTAAAAAAAATTATGCATTCCTACATGCTCTTGATCTGAAATAAAATGACTCTCGTTTTGTAATACGATCAAGGACATTATCAGCTGTTAAGTGTCAGAAATGTCACAATAACATCCATGCTCAAATCAATGCCATTCACTGAATGATTGCATGTGTACTGAAACTCCCGTCAACCTTCCTTGAACAATGCAGTACGTGAATAGTTTCAGTCTTTGTCATTGTATGTGGCTGATTTACCAGCCACAAGAAAAACGCACAAAGCACATCAGCAACAGCTCACCCCATGTGACTCAGCAGTCAGACGAAACCAGGATGGCCAGTGAACTCATCAGTGGCACTTCAATTCAAACAAATCAGTCAAGCAAAGCAAACAATTCTGAGAGCAGGTGACCCTGTTATCTATCATACCCACAGATCTCAGGCTAAACACAGTTTCAAGCATATTTCTATTATGATAATACAGTTAAATAAGTGAATGCGTACCTTTCTGTACATGGATGATATCAGGGTAATTGGTAAGGTGGCCTTGGTACAGGGCTAACAAATCCATCAATGGGTCCACATCTTGTTTAGGCTGCTCCACAAAGTAGTCTCCAATAGCTTCGTAGGCTTCCCCCGTGTATGCAATTGCTTGGTTCAAACTGACCGAGTACGACTGCTGGTCCATCTCGAACGCTTGGCTTAGATACTTAAAAGACAGTCCCACTTTCTGATACTCTTTCTTAAACCCAGCTATCTGCTTCCTCGCAAACTCGTTGAGTGTGGCATTGACTTGGATTACGCTGTCATCCATTTTCTTGGTGAAGGCCTTGAATCCATCAATCCTGCTTTCGACGTCTTGCAGGTCAAGAGGGGCTGCTGGAGTGCTGATGGTGAGGAAGAAGTTGGCACCGACCATCTCGTCCTTCTCGGCTTTCCTTTTCCCTTGCTTCCAAGACTTTTCATCCATGCTGGAACAGGTGAGGAAGTGCTGGAAAACATCACACCGGGCTAGTACAGGGTGGCTGGTCATATGATTCATCCACCATATCAATCCTCTTCTCCTTTTCGAAATGAAGTCTTCTTCGAAGCGGCCAGTGGCTTGTTTTTCAGGGATGTGCGGCACTGAAATGACAGGAAATTTCTCCACCAATCTGGCATAGAGCCAATCGAAATGCTTATATCTTCTGTTGACCTGGCTCTGCGTGTGGGTGGATGTCAGCTTGTAGGAAATGTAACTTTTCATGCCTTTGAATTTAGTCTGCTTGGTGGGGTCATCAATAGTGCAAGTGAACGGGTATGGGTTCTCCTGCCACTCCGGACCGTACTGACCCATCACAACGCAGATTTTATCGCCATCCTTCACAAAGCCGGACGCTTCCCCCAGCACAAACGCCTCACCGCCCGACTTCACGAAAGTGGAGAACCTGTTTAGATTTCTGCTGACCGTTGCTGAACTTTTGGCTTGCTGTGCACCTCTAGGCATGGAGGAGGTGGAGATGCTGTAGCCAGAGGGTCCGTTTCCTTCATAATTCCTATATCCTCCACCAACAACCCCTGGTTCATCAGCTACAGATGAGTGATCATCCCAGTCATCATCCCAGTCATCATCACTGGCTGGAGTCCCTGGATGATGTTGTTGTTGTTGCTGAGGTAGTGCAGGGTAGGCTGTGAAGCTGGGAGATGGTGCAGTGCTGTAGCTCTCTTGAGTCTGATTTTTGAAGTCAAAACCACCAGTGGGAATGTTGGCATATCGAGAGTTGTTGTTAAAAGATGAGACGGTGTCATTCCTCAATATCTCGACGTAGGACGCAGGCAAGAGCCCTCTCTCCCCCCTGCTGTTTGTCCCCTCCAGCCAGCCCTCAATGTCCTGCTCGCTGTACAGAGTTATAATCTCGTGCTCTTTCACCGATATCTCTCCTGGGTTTTCTGAATTAAATTCATACAGTGCTCTCGCACGCAAAGCCATATTTCCAAGCTGCGATGAATTTAAAAGCGTATAAGGTTAGCGTATCAGCAAGCTAACTCCAACCCAAACTCTCTCACTCGCTCGCTCGCTGACCTGCAATACTGACAATAACTTACGCGTCTGCTGCGGGAACCGTGACCCACTATCTCCAGTGTCCTCTTCACACTGGTCATACGATAACCTGACAATCAATCAGCTGTCGCGCTTAAAAACCTCAGAGCATGAGCAGAAGTCATTTCTTCATCTGTGGAGTTTACCGTCCAGAGCCCCGTTGCTGTGCGCCTGTCCCACACCGACCGCAGTGTACACTCACTCACCCTTATATATATATATATATATATATATATATATATATATATGAACAGATAAGAGTCTTTTTTACTTATTAGAAAATTAAATTTTTGCCACTAAGCATTATGCAGGCAATCAAGCTGATTGTTAAACATCTGGGGACACCCAAAACAAAGCAAAATTGTCATACAACAGCAAAGAATGTGATTACCGGCTAACTGATCACAACAACAGTGTTCAACTAACATGATGAATGGTGTTAAGTCACTGTGTTTTCCTAATCACATGCTGGCCACCATCGGTCCTTGGTCTCCACCACTAGTATCCCATCATGACACAGCATGGCTTTGAGGTCCCCCGCCTGGAGCTGACGGTCAGGCAGCTGATACTGTCTGGTGAAACTCCGTGACACAAACCCATGCTCGTCCATCCTCACCCCATGCCGACCTCTAATAAGTAGCCACCCTTCAAAGACCTGTATGAGGATGTCTTCTGGTTTAAACTGAGTCACGTCCAGCAGGACTTTAAATAATGGCTCTCCTGAATCCTCGTCCTCACTGTCTGCTTCACCCCCCTCAGTGTCCATTTTAACCGGCAGACATTCAGGTCCTGGCAGGGCAAACAGTTGATGATCTTCAGTGCATTCAGTGAGATTCCTGGTTTTGAAGTGCTCCTGGTAGCGCACAGGGCTTGCAATCCAGTGGGAAATAGTGATCCCCTCTCCTGACATGACACTGGGCGCAGAGGTTCCCTTGGCTTTTTGTGTAGTGAATGTGGAGTAGTGCAATGCCAGTAGGACCAACCAAAGCTATTAAAAGACAGTCCTCTGCTTAGGTTTCTGGGCAAGGGATGGGGCGGACCATTTTTAGAGCAGGCAAAGAGAACAGATATCTTCATATTACTGTGTAGGAAGCTTGTACTTAACAAGCATGACGTATTATGTTTTTCAAGTTTTTTTCAATTTTCATACAGCAAGAACACAAAAAACTGATTAAAAATAACAGCAATGCATTATAATATTACTAAAAGTATCATAGTTTTGACAAAAATATTAAGCACCACAATGGTTTTCAGCATTATTATAATAATAACAATAATTTCTTGAGTGGAACATCAGCATATTACAATCATTTCTGAAGGATCATGTGATGGCTGCAGAAAATTCAGCTTTGCTGTCACAGGAATACATTGTATTTTAAAATATATGAAAATAGTAGACATGGACTTTAAAGGATATTGGTATTATTTTTAAGGAGAAAAGGATATTTAAATGTTAAAGATATCTGCATATGATTTTGGCATGTCGACAAAGGGAATACCATAGTTTTTGTTCTGTGAACTGATAAAAGTTTACAAAGAGTTATGAATGATATATCAATGCTGCCACCTTGTGGATGTTTATTATGAGTACATATAGATGCTGGACATTTGTTTTGCCATAGTTCATTGGTAACAAAGGGCCACTGAAAATTTCAGACTGGCTGAACACATGAGTTACATAGGCCTGGATTACAGTTTGTTTATGTCTTTAGATTTGTATGCTTGTTTGGGAGTGTACACTACTGTTCAAATGTTTGAGGTTGTTTATGAAAGAAGTCTTTTTTTTTTTTTTTGCCTTATCCAAAGCTCCTTCAGAAACCATTCTAATATGCTGGTATGATAATAAGAAAAAGTTGGGGAAAAAAAATCTTATTCTGATTATTATTTTTGGGGAAACCATGATACTTTTTTCAGGCTTGTTTGAATCCAAAATTCATATGAACAGAATGTTTGTAATGTTACTGTATAAAATGTTTTTATTGCCCCTCTTGATCAGTTGAATAAAATTCATTTATTTATGGTATGATTCTGGTATAGAGGTCAAATAGATACCATAATTACATTTTTATGTGAATGAAAAGACTGAAATCAAATGTATGTTCACATAATGGTGAACATTTGATACCTCAATAAACTGCTGCATTATTTAGACACACCAGCAGCATGCTGTGATAATGTTATCAGCTTTCAACTTGTACTTTTCTAACATTCTTTCTGAGTTTTTATCTCACAGAGGAATTCATAATTATCACTATTATCGTCCTTATGATCATCAGCACTTCCTTTGTTAATAAAGGGAAGAGAGAACAGTTAACACATTCAACATTATTATATGCTGTAGCTCATCAGAACATATAATGTGATTATTTCAGTCAAGCTTAAGTACATTTCTGACATTGCAAATTTTTTTTACAATTATTGTTCTATATAATTTGTTGTGTGTTGGTGTGTAAAAGTAACTAATCCAATTAGCAGTTTTATTTTGCAGTACGAGTCACTGAGCTTATAATCTCTTGAGACTGCGCTCTACTAATGCCCTTTAGTTATTGCCTTTCTCTTCCCGAGTATTTATCCACCTCTAGCACTTGTTTATTTATGAATGGGGAATAAACAGAGCTGTTCCCTTTTTTTCTCCCTCCTTTTATTTGAGGAAGAACCATTGATTCTCTGTCTTCGTATAGTGTCTTTCTGTGTTCCCTCTTCAAAGCCGTCCTCCTCCTGTCCTCATCCAGTTACTCTGGCTCGGCTTGTTTGTTGTCGGGTAACGCTGTTGCTGGGGACGATGTCAGAACACATTCCGCTCTCAATAGCCCTGTGTAGGATTGGCTTTTACACGGTAAGCCGAGCAAATGTCTCCATGTTTTGCTGTACATTTTATGCATGCACCAGTTGGTGCCTTTTTTTTTATTTTAGTTATTTCGATGTTCGTCCAAACTTATTTTGGTGGAATTATGTTGTGTAATATGCAACAGGCTACCTGAAGCCACAGGTGTCCATAGTCAACAATATACGCAATACGAACACTATAGTAGTTTTCACATGTAGATCTACGTGCATGGTTACAGTAGCTGGAGTCATGTTCGACAGCTTTCATGAGCTGGTTGCAGTTCAAAAATGATTAAACTGTGGTGAATGTAAGTGTGTGTTCATCCCCAGGGAGTAGTGTGGCAGGTGTTTTCGGCAGTTAACCCCCAGGTTAATTTGTGCTTTTATGTTAGAAGTCACAGAGGAACCTTATATGGTAGAAAAAAACCCAAATTCTAATCCTATTGTAAAATGTTTTTTGTTATGACTTGAGGTCTTTCAGCATTTATCTAGTCTTCCAGTTTAAGTTACCTACTACTGAGATGTGCCGTATTGTTCTGTTTTGTTTAACTTGTAGAAAAAAAAAAAGTAACTTCTGTTGGATTATGTCTTTTAAGCTTCACGTTATTAACATGAAAGGATGTGGGCACAGGCATATTTATGTGATACCTGGCAGCAGCGACGGTACATGATGATCTGCTTTGGTGAAGATGGTCACACCCTCACATAAATTATGTATATTGTATATAATATTAAATATCCTATCATTTAGTTTTAATGCCCTACCTAGGGCTGGGCGATATAGCAAAAAAATGTATCAACGATATAATGTTTCATATCGTTTGGTATCGATCCAATTAGACAAAAATCTAATTTCTAATGTTTTATGTGCAGATTAAATAGGTCTTAAGGAAACTTTTGGCTTGTCTCCCGAGGCCACAGGAGGGCGCAATGAGCAAAATAATGCAGCACATTTAAATAGTCAACGCAAGGAAATAAATGGCTATAAAAAAAACCTGCATTACGTCTAAATTAACTCATATAAATCAAATATAATTTCGTAAATTGCATAAACAATTATGAACAAAACAGCATCATGTATTTATTTATTTATGCATTGCTTAATACAAAGAGCCGAATCGCCCATCACACAGATTGCATTTAAAAACATAAAAGACACCGTGAAAAGGAATAAACCTCCACAAATTCGTGACGTGTTTTCTAAAAGTTTAAACTCTCTTGTGTGAGACGCGAGTGCAGCAGTCATATTTGTCCATCTAAAATGCGCTGAATATGCATCTGTGTGAATGGCTTGGTTTCGGTTTTCACCTAATCAAGATCTTCTCCGCATTGAGCTTCTATATTTCTCTAATATTTATGTTTTGAATGCATAACACAGCAGTGGCGTATCTCGTGCGCTAAACCAACAAAACATTAAAATGCAACAATGTCACTTACATCATCACCGCTTCTCGCGCGCCACTGATGACGCTCCCTGACGCACTCCTAACATTCAAATGCAAATGTTTACTTTAAATTAGACTAATATTAATTTTTTTTATTCACAATCTCCTCATCACAGGCAGGCACAGCACTCATGTTCGTGTTTGTGTGTGCTGTCTGCGTCATTTATAGCACGTGCCTATATCGTGCACTATATCGAACATTTTTATATCGTTATCGTAGAAGATGTACCGTCGATAAATATCAATACCGTTTTATCGCCCAGGCCTAGCCCTACCGTTCAAAAGTTTTGATTCAGTAATTAAAAAAAAAAAACTGTTTTTGAAAAGTCTTTAAAGGGGTCATGAAATAGAGAATAATTTTTGCCACCAACTCCCCAGTTTAAATATGTATTATTCTGTTCTACCCTTCTGAAATGCCTGGATTTGAAATCGGAAGAGTTTTGACGTCACGATTTCCCCTCAACATGCCATTGTTCTGTGTCACCATCATATGTAATCAAGGAGGTGTGTTCTGAACTCATGTAAAAGAAGATATTTTTGAAGAATGGTGGTAACCAAACTTGCTGGTCCCTCTTGACTTTCATAGTATGGAAAAAATACTATTGAATCAGTGTGGACCTGAAACTGTTTGGTTACCCACATTCTTAAAAATATCTTTTGTTGTGTTCAGCAGAAGAAAAGAAATTCATACAGGTTTATTGTAGATCTTATGTTTTCAGGGCATTCGGCACAATAAGAATTTGAAAGCATCAGGTGTGTGGCCCAGTATGGATGTGGTGTGTGTGTGCTTGTGAGGGTGAGGGTTTTATTGCATCTCATTAGTGTTCTATAGGACCTCTGAGACTGCAATGGAGGGGCATGCCTTCAATTTTAGGCCTGGTCTAAAATTGCGGCACGTGGCAATCGGTTATTAGGCCTCTAAAATCCTGTAACTTCCAGTTTTGCTGTGGATATGTGTGTTTGCTCAGTTCTGATGTCAGTCTGACATGTGTTTATTTACACAAAACGTTTAGTGACAGAACTGTACTGCTTATTTTTTTTCTAGTGTTCATGAGATGGTAAACCTTTGTTCACTGTTATTAGGAGCACAGTTTTCCTGTACAGAATTCAAATGAGATGTGTGTTAACTGCCCGTTTGTTCCATTTCAGGTGGCCTTTGTGCTGATAGTTTGACTGACAGCAACAATGTTTGCATTCATTAGGTTTGCTGAGAAGACTCTGAGAATGCTTGGCTCAGATTGTTCAAAAACACAAAGTAGTAATTAGACAGTATATTTCCGGTTGGTTATGCCAGTATGTTTGTTGATATCAGGAACAGAAATGTTATGAAATGAGCTGCATCAATGCCCAACAACACTAAAAAGGTTAGCACAGTTGGTATTGTCAGGGTTTCAACATCGACTTAGAGGGGCAGTTCACCCAAAAATGAAAATTTCCTCATGATTTACTTGTTATTCCAAACTTAAGAAATGCATAAGAAAGGTTGGTAACCAAATCGATTTGGTTGCCATATATTTCTATTGTAATCTAAGGCAATTTCTCAAAATAATTTCACTTGTGTAAATAATGACATCAGATTTTTGTTTTTTGGGTGAAGTATCGCTTGAAATATTTTACAGTTTAATTCTTTGGATGATATTCTTGTAGAATCTGCTAACAAATGTGCATCAAAGAGAGAGTCTTGTAATTGTAATGTTAATATTTACAGCATTTTTAAAGCTTGAATCTGGACTTAATCACAGTATAAACCAATTAAAATAATATAGGCATAATATCAAATGCCGGTACCAGTGTTGCACTGTGAATGATTCAAAATGTGTATAAATGAACCTCAAATACTTCCTGAATGGGAACCACTTGGTGGTGCCGTTTCATTAACTATGACCCAAAACAGATTATTTGCTGTCCTGATCATCCTGTAACTTCTATTTTTTATTATGAAGTAAAAGGTCTAAAGCTAAAGTAGTTGAATATAATTATTAATATTTTTAGTCAAATATTTCGGCCCATTTTACACTCATTTTAAAGTAAAGGTTGGCAACTTTTATGAGTGTACTACTACATCGCTGACACACATGGACTAAAAGCCACAAAACAAGCAGGTTTATCTTTTTTTTTCTTCTTCAAAATAACGTTCCAGTCTTTAATTGTTCACTAGTGGTCAGTGTATACGTTTTATCATGTGGACTTTTATTGTGAAGTTTTTTTTTATTTTTTATTGCTGTTGCTTTGTCGTCTTGTTTCCTGTGTAAATTGCATGCCTTTTGTTTTTTCTCATTTCAGCCATTGTGCGTTCTTGTGTCTTTTCCTTCTTTGACATTAGCCTCTTATGAAAAGGATGCTAGAATGAGATGTGAAGATGAAGAAATCGAAGCAAGACACGTTTATAAGATTCATTGAAGCATCACTTTAATATCAGTTACTGAAGACTCTGCAGTTTGCGTAGCTGCGCTTAGATGACTAAAGTGTCAATTTCCAGGTTACAGGCTGGCTGAGCTGCAAGATGATAAGTAAGTGTTTACCATTCCTGTTCCTGGAGCTCCTCTAACACTGCACAGTGTGTATGTGTCCTTTATTTGACACAGTTAGTTCATTCCATGTTCACTCCAGATTGGGGGAGCTCCAGGACTATGTTAGGAAAACACAGAGTTTTGGTCAGACAGCTTGCCTTGGTGTTTACACTATCGTTTTAAAAGTGTCAGTTAGATATTACTAAAAATGTGTTACTTTTATTCAGCAAGGAGCTGTTAAATTAATTGAAAGTGACAAATTTGTGTAATCATTGCACACCTGCAATGATTATTTCTGTAGCGTCTCGACCAATGGCAGATTTACGCTACAAGCTTTGTAGAATTGTACAGTAAGAAAGTTATTTCCCTTAACCAGGAAATTAACGTTCTTAGAATTGACAAGACAGTTGACCCTGAGAGGTCAGCTAAATATCTACAGCGGATCTAAAATATGAATAGTTAATTATAACTAGTTATGGTTAATTATTCATATTTCTTGTTGTGAGCTAAATTCGCTACATTTCTTTGTGAGAGACAAATGGATCAAAGAGGTGTAGAGCCAAGCAAGACATTTCTGGATAATTTAATTTGAAGAATTTTGGCAACCAAACAGTTTGAGGCCATTGACTTGCATTGTATGAGCGAAAAATCCTTTAATGTTGCACAGAAAGAAGTCACACACATGATGAGAGAATTTTCATTTTTGGGTGGACTATCTCTTTAACAGAAAATATTTATTTTGTGTGTCAGATCAAAGATTAGGTTAAATTTGCTTTTTATGAGATCTGGGAATATTCTTTCCAGTCCACTTTTGTTGAAGCAGTCCAAATCGGCAAGACTGAATGCCAAACACTTACAAATGTGTTGAATGGTGGATGAGGCAGGATTGGAAAACTCTAGTTCTGACCCATTTAGACCTCCCCAGTTAGCACTCTGTATTATTTCATACATCAGTGAAGTTTCCCATGTTGAAATGCAGGCAATGCAATGCAGATGTGCCACACTGAGGGGGAAAGTCTTTTAAAAGCTTGAAACTGATGATTGCAACATGATTG